TGAGTCCTGCAAAAGTTTTAATAAACAGGTCTGGGATTTCCCTGGTGGTGCAGTGGTTAAGAATCCGCCTACCAATGCCAGGGTCACAGGTTTGATCCCTGGTCCGGGAAGATCCCACGTGCCGCGGAGCAACTAAGCCCGTGTGCCACAACTACTGAGCCTGCTCTCTAGAGCCGGCGAGCCACAACTACGGATCCCACGCCACAACTACTGAAGCCCACGTGCCCTAGAACCCGCACACCGCAACTGCTGAGCCTGCCTGCTGCAACTCTTGAAGCCCACATACTCTAGAGCCCATGCTCTGCAACAAGAGAAGCCACAGCAATGAGGAGCCCATGCACCACAACGAAGAGTAGCCCCCGCTCGCCACAACTAGAGAAGGCCCGTGTGCAGTGACAAAGACCCAACACAGCCAAAAAAAATTAAAAATTAAAAAATAAAAAAACAGGTCCATGTTAAAACCTGCTGTCAGGCATGGATAAAGTCTTCAACGAAGAGAGACTTGAAAGGGTGGCAAGTGGACTTTCTTGGGATGCTGAGAGGGTTAAAGTTTCATCCACTTGATAGTTGGTTGCTTCAGCTATAAGTGATAACTCAAGTTGTTTTGTTTTGCTTTTTAAAATAAATGAGCCATTTTCCTTTCAGCAACATAGGTATATATTTTTTAAGTACTTGAAAATGCCTGGGTAAACTTTTTTTTTTATAGAAAGATATTCATAGAGTTAAAGTAATTTTTAAAATTCTATGAAAAAGATGGTTTTGAAGACATTACTAGAAACACTGTGTCCCTGTGTGCCTGGCCGTGGTTCACTACACTGTGGGCTCTCTGAGGGCAAGGATGATGTCAGGATTTTTGTTTTCCCCAAACTATCACAAGATAAGATCTTCAGTTAATAAATGGATTGATCTGTATTTAAGGACATGGCTTAGATGGATCTATTCGACATCTTATTATGAAAATTTTAAGCATACAGAGAAGTAGAATTTTGCAGTGAATGCTTATATCACCATCACCTAGATTCTACTGTTAACATTTTACTGTATTTGTTTTATCATACATCTCTCCATCTGTCTGTGTCTCTATCCATTCACTAAGGTATCTTATTTTTGGTACATTTCAAGGATATTTCTGGACTGTCTTGGAAGCTGATTTGTACTCAGGGACCATAGTTTGAATTAGTGAAAGAGAAGGTGATGAGTTAGTTTTAGGTATCAGATGTAGCTCTGTAACTGACCTCATGTGATATCTGTTGATAAATTATGATTTCTTGCTAACATTCCTATGATTTTAATGTTCCTTCAACCTTCAGTGTAATATTCTGATAGAAATTCCTTGGTTGCCAACTGTAATGATTGTGTGAATGCCGATTCTGTGTGTTTACTGTTGCCATTACAAATAGCTTTGACGTTATCTCACATGAGACTTCACCTTTCATGTCTCTTCTGGTTAGGAGTAGCCCATCGAAGCCAGAGCAGTGAAGGAGTCAGTTCTCTCAGCAGCTCGCCCTCCAATAGCCTTGAAACACAATCTCAGTCTCTCTCACGTTCCCAGAGCATGGATATCGATGGAGTCTCTTGTGAAAAAAGGTAAAGTAAGCCAGTTTTCCAGTAAGCTGCTTTGTTGATGGAAAGGGAAAGATCCATTCACTTTAATCTCTAGTCCAGTGGTCTCAAATGCCAGCCCAGAGATCCATGCCAGTCCTTAGCAAATCAGAGCTAAATATAATAAATTGAAAGGTCTTTGTTTTATTCTGAAATGTTCTGTATACCTTTTTTTGTTTTTGGTGTTGGAATGTCTTTTATGAAATAATTATATAGGTGGTAAAAAAAATTTTTTTTAATGTCTTTATTTTGTAAATGCAAAGTTAGCAAGCATAGGTCAGCCCCTAAAAATTTCTGCAAAGATTTACTGCTTGGTGAAATTTTAAAAGTTTGGAAGGGTATAAGCAGGTAAGCCCCATATTCTAGGAGCTCCATGAGGATAACAGAGTCGCTGAAGGGTTGATTACTCCTTGGGCAGCCAGACCTCCAGGGCATGGCTCCTTTGCCCTCAAGCAGCCCCCTCTGTTTATGTCAGTGGGCCAGACAGATACCATTTTCTGTGTGTGTTAGGATACTGGGGTGTCATGTACTTGGTGGGTTGGGGTGAGGAGCCAGGTCAGGGGTCACCCCGCATTAGGCAAGAATTCAGAAAGGACTACACTCCCAGGAAGAAGATAAAGTAGAAAAAAATCAACCCCATAGAGTAAAAACAATCGTGTTCTTATTACCTTTGCTCTGAGTGGATGAATTTCTAAAAATCAAGTCAACTCTGCAATTTCTTGGCCAGTGGGTAACTTTCACATGGTTTTAGAACCTAAATTTACACTATCGTGGTAGTCTGAAAAACCTCAGCCTAAGAACTGTCATAGACAATGGACTCTTTAGTGTCTTTAGGCATCTAGCAGATATAAACATAAATCATCCAAGTCTTTAGAAAATGTCCTTAGAAAAATGTCCAAGAAATATAAACTCATGGTCAAAAATTAAAGCACGCTAGAAAAAAGCCACCATGAGTAAGAAGAGTCTGTAGAATCGATAAAAACAGAATTATTCACCTAGAGGTTTTTGGGTTTTGGAATTATCAAATACAGAATGTAAAATTTTTATGTTTAAATAAATTTAAAAGGGTATTGAAGCATGAATAAGGTGTAAGCAACTATAAAAACAACCAAGCACATTTGAAAAAGAACCAAATAGAATTTCTAGAAATGAAAATAATAAACAGTGGATTAAAATAACTAAAGAGAAATTAACAAATGGAATGATAGAGCTGAAGAGCTTATCCAGAGTGCACCACAAAGAGAAAAAGAACTGAAAAATATGAAGGGTATTTAGAAATATAGAGGACACAGATCCAATATATATCTAATAGAAATGTCAAGAGGAGAGAATAGGCAGACTGGGAGATTCCCCACCCTTCTCCTTATTCCATGTTTTTTCCTCTGCTGGTTTGGAAGCCATTATCAAAAAGATAAATAGCTGAGGATTTTTCTGGAGTTGATAAATGTTATGAATCCTCAGATTCAGGAAGGCTAACAACTCACGAGCAGATTAAAGAAAGAGAAATTCATATCTAGACATTTTATAGTAAAATTGCAGAACACCAAAGACAAAGACGTTTAAAGCAGCCAGAGAGAAATGAGAGATTATCTACAAAAGAACAATAGTTAGATAGGTGTCTCAGTGATGGAGGCCAGAGGATGGTGGAAATAGCATTAAGTGCTGAGAGAAAGTAACTGTCAGCTGGGAATTATGTGCCCTTGTGCAACTATCTTTTAAGAGCAGGGGTGAAATAAAGACATTTATAGATTTAAAAAACAAACTAGAACAACCTGATAGTCTGCCACCAGAAGACCCCAACTTTTAACAGATGCAGTTTAAGACGAAGGAAAATGATCTCAGGACTAATGTCTGAGATGCAAGAAGGAAAGATGAGTCAAGAAAATATTAAATATGTGGTAACCCTAAACACTGACGGTGTAAGACAGTAATAACAGTTTATGAAATAGTATAGGGGGAGAGAAGTAAATCATCAGGTAGATCTAACATACTGAACAGCAATAGCAGGTAAGCCAGAAGGGGAGTGATTGTATACTTGGGAGAGGGGTAAAGACAGTGGCCAACTTTTAGATTTTGAGTTAAGAATACTTGATAAAGGGCTTCCCTGGTGGCGCAGTGGTTAGGAGTCCGCCTGCCGATGCAGGGGTCGCGGGTTCGTGCCCAAAAAAAAAAAAAAAAAAAGAATACTTGATAAAGTTTCAAGGGTAACAACTGAAAGAGTAGAAAGAGTTTATTTTCAAACCAGCAAAGGGAAAATATGGAATTGGGGTGGGTAGGGAGGGGATTTAAGTCAATTCAAAGAAAGGGAAGAAAGAAACACAGATTTTTAAGAAGAGGCAAACAGCACAAAATAAGATGGTTAAAAGAAATGAAAATATTTCAGTAATCACAGTAAATCACAGTGAAACGTCAGGTTGGATTAAAAACAAATTAGAACACAGCTTTATTCTTGTTTACTGAAGGCATACCTGAAACATTAGGTTAGAGAAAGTTTGAAAATAAAAGAAAGGGAAAAAATATACTGGGCAAAAATACTAAACAAAAGAAAATAGGGGAAAGTATATTAATAAATTAGACTTTGTCACAAAGTATTACTAGAAATAAGCACTGTACAATGATAAGTGTTTAGTTTACCAGTAGGATATAACAGTTTCCAAAGTATATGCACTTAGTAATATAATAGCAACATGAAATAAGGCAAATCTTGATAGAACTAGAGGAAATTGACAGAGACATAATCATAATGGGAGGTTTTTAACATAAATGTCTTCTTCAGCCATCAATAGAGCAAAGAGAATAAACATCAGTAAGCATATGGACAAATTAAACAACACAGCTAACAGGTTTGATCTAATTGAAAGATACAGAACTTTGCACTCTGCAGTTGGAGAATACACATTCTCTTCTGATAAGATCCATTGACCCAAAGGTTTCAGGAGTCAGAATCATACAGATCATGTTTTCTGACATGAGCTTAGATAATTATATAAGGTAAAAAAATCTTTTAAAAACCCATCATGAATTTGGAAATTTTAAAAACAGATCATGCTTCTAAATACAAGTCAAAGAAGAAATCATAATGGAAATTTGGAAGTATCTAGAATGGAACAATAACAAATATTACATATCATCATTTGTGTGTTGCAGCTAATGTGCTTCTTAAAGAGAAGATAAAGCTATATACAATATATTAAAAATGAAAAATGGAAAAAGAATATAAATAAATATTGGGAATAAAACCCCTTTTCTTGGAATACTTTTCCTCTGGATATGTGCATGGCTAACCTCCATATTTTTGCCCAGATAGCATTTCAGTGAGGTCACCCCATTTAAAAGGGGGAAAGCCCTGCCCTCTCAATTGCCTTTTCCCTGCTCTGTTTTCTTTAATTTTTCCATAGCATTTATCATATACTATATGCTTTGTTTATTATTGTTTATTATCTTTCTCCCTTTAACTAGAATGGAAGCTCCATGATGCAGGGATTATTTTTTTGTCTGTCTGTTTGTTGGCATCTCAGACACCTGGAACAATGCCTGCATAGAATGGGCACTCAGTAATGCTTGTTACTGAAAAATAGAATTCTGCAAAAAATGTAAATACGCAGGATGCACATAAATTTGAAAATTTGGATGAAAATCAAATTCCTAGAAAAACACATTCTCCCAAAATTGACTCAAGAAAAAGGAGAGAACCTGAATAATCAAAAAAACGTGAAATAAATTGAATCAGTATTTTAAAATTTTCCAAAGAAGACACGTTTCTTATATGATTTTATAGGTAATTCCAGCATTCCAACTTTACACACATTTTTCAGGTAATTTTTAAACTTACCAAATCAGTTTATGAGGCTAATATGACCTTAATGTACAAAACCAGACAAGAATAATGTAAAAGAAGAAAATTAATTACATGGTAATCATACTTATGAACATATTTGCAAAAGTCTGAAGATATTGGCAAATCAAATACTGCAGCACATAAAAAGAAGACAAAACATGTATGGGGCTAGATGCCAGGATAGCAGTTACTGTGGGCTAGTGTAGTAGTGATTGAAAGGGTCATGAGGGGGGACTTTTGGGGTGCTGGTAATGTTCTGTTGCTTGATCTGGGTGCCGGTTACATTAGTATGTCTCCTTTGTGAAACTATTCAGCCAAACACATCATGTATGCACATTTCTGTATATTTCAACTAAAAGATTAGTTTAAAAAAATAATATAACATGACCAACTTGGGTTTATCTTAAGAATGCAAAGGTGCTTTAACATTAGAATATCTATAAATATTATTCACCACATTATATATTAAATAGGAAAGCCATATAATCTTGGAAGTTGCAAAGGTTTGATACAATTCAACATTGATTCATGGTCAAAATCTTAGCAAACAGGAGACAGAAAGTTGCATCCTTAAACTGTAGGGCAGAGACAGAGTTCACCAAATATTCCACAGGCTCCCCTGCATTTCCAGTCTCCTTTGTCATTAGATTGGGGCCAATTAACTAGTTCTGTCCAGTAGACTTGTGAATGGAAGTGACATGTGTCACTTTTAGGTGAAGGCAGTTGAGCCGATGTTCCTCCTCCATCCCTCTCTTCTCTTGCTCCAGTGACCTTGGAGGCTGTATATTGCAGACGTCATAGATTAAAGATGGAGTAAGGTTGCTTCACTCATCAAACTTTGCAGAAGCAAGAAACAAACCCTTATAGTGTGAAGCCTCTAAGATTGCAGAGTGTATGTGTTACCACAGCATAGCCTCTTATTCTCACTAATATAAAGGACATCTACCAAAAAACACAGTAGCTCTCATACTCAGTGATAAGAAATTAGAAGCATTCTCTTTAAAATCAGGAATGAAAAAAGGATGAGTGCTGTTTCTGCTTCTATTCAACATGGGATCCTACCCACTGCAGTAAAGCAAGTTAGGATTGGAGTGAAAGAAACAAAACAGTTATTATTTGGAGATAAAATGATTGCCTTATAAGCCCAGTGTATAAGGAAACAAGTAGCTTATAAGAGGTCTGTGTCTAAAGTCAGTTACGTTACTATGTACTCGCAACAAATTAGAAAACTTAATTTTTAAAAAGGCCCATTCACAATTTTATTTAGAAATATTTGGTGCTGGGCTTCCCTGGTGGCGCAGTGGTTAAGAATCCGCCTCCCAATGCAAGGGACATGGGTTCGAGCCCTGGTCTGGGAAGATCCCACATGCTGTGGAACAACTAAGCCTGTGCGCCACAACTACTGAGCCTGGGCTCTAGAGCCCGTGAGCCACAACTACTGAAGCAAGCCCGCGCGCCTAGAGTCCATGCTCCGCAACAAGAGAAGCCACCGCAATGAGAAGGCCGTGCACCACAACAAAGAGTACCCCCCCCTTGTCACAACTAGAGGAAGTCTGCACGCAGCAGCAAAGACCCAACACAGCCAAAAAATATATATATATATATATGTATATATATATATATATATGTATATATATATATATATAGTGCCTAAGGATCAATTTAGCAAAAGAAGTGAAAGACTTAGGGAGAAAATTATCAAAGTTTATTGAAAGAAGACCTTAAATACTTGGAGAGAGGTACCTTGTCCATGGATAGATCAGTAACATAATGAGGTCTTTTCTCCCCAATTTGATCTATAGAGTCAGTGAAATTCTAGTCACAATCCCAACAGGAGTTTTAAGGAACCTGTCAAGCTGATTCTTAAGTATGTGTGGAAGAGCAAAGGGCCAAGAATGGCCAAGACTAGAGGAACAAGGTAGAGGCGTTGACCTAGCAGATGGCAGGGTTTATTGTGAAGTTGTAGTAAGTACAGTACAGTGGTATTGGCTCAGGGACAGACAGATTGTCTAATGGAGCAGCAATGAGTATCCAGAAGGAGACCCGCACACGTATGACAGTTGGACATATGATGTAGGTGATTTCATATTGGTGTTGAAAAAGATGGTCTTTTCAATAAATGGTGCTGGGACGGTTATTTAATGCGGGGGAAATAATATATGCACTTCACCAGATTTTGTAATCAGGCTCTGATTGTATATCATTTAGAAATAGTATGTATAGAATATCTGCTCTTACTTTTTGTTTTTGAAAGTGAGCCTAAGAAAATAACAACTTGAGGAAAATATTTCCAACAATATTATTATGATTTTTGAAAGTGAGCCTAAGGAAATGACAACTTGGGAAAAATATTTTCAACAAGAATGATAGAACGTTTATATCCTAATATATGAAGAGCTCTTAAAAATTAATGAGAAAAAAAGATGCACCTTTATTATTTTGCTTTCCTGACTGATTTTGATTGATATTCTAAAACTTTTCCCCAGGGAATTCCCTGGCGGTCCCATGGTTAGGACTTGGTGCTTTCAGTGCTGAGGGCCCGGGTTCAATCCCTGGTTCAGGGGACTAAGGTCCTTTAAGCCATGCGGCACGGCCAAAAAAAAAACCCCCCAAAAACAAAAAACTTTTCCTCAACCAGTAGCTATGACATTGGATGGATTTATCAAAGGTAGAAGACTGATTGTCTTTTATACTTAAAGCATGTCCCAGGTGGATGTGGATTCAGGAATTGAAAATATGGAAGTTGATGAAAATGACCGAAGAGAAAAAAGGAGCCTCAGCGATAAGGTTGGTAAGAGATGAAGCCCTTGCTTCTGTTTTTAGTTACAGGTAATATAAATAAGCACTGCTTCATGTCTTGTATCTGTAAAGTCTATGAGAGAATGCCACCCCAAACCAGCAGATCCTATTTAGGTGACTGGGTTTTTTCTTTTTTTCTTTTACTTTTTTCAGGAAAAGTGGGTAGCCTTGATCACCCTTATTAATGGAAGTATATAACTCAGTCCTTTTATCTGATAAAAATCCTTCACTTATCTTTGTTTCAGGTCCATGTTTTTATCAGTAAATGTTAGCAAATAATTTAGAGCTAATTTGAATTTTTTTCTGTCGGTCTTTAATTGCTTAAGCAAGTAGGTCATCACATCTTTGGTTCTGTTTTGAGGGAAATGACTGGGAATTGAAGCAAGAATGTGAGGAAACAGGAGGCTTTTATATTTTGTTATCATCTGAGCTTTAGTTCCCTGTATTTAGAACAAGGATTTTCTGGGTTTTTGGTGTGTGTCATGGTGTTGAACTGGCAGAGATAATTGGATCACTTTCTGTTCAGTAAATTATTGGTGTTCGGCAGCATTATTAGAAGCTGGACTGTAGCCTCCTGGTGGTGCAGTGCTTCATTTTGCATAGGTTTTGAGTGTTTACAAAGTTCTTTCATATATGATACTTTCTGTGATGGAAAGTAGTGAAAAACATTGGATTCTGGAAAAATTTCTAGAGAAAAATTAGTGGTATACCTAGAATGTCAACCTGGTCTTTTAGCATTCAGAAAAGTAAATAAATGGGATATATGTACATCCTTTATCACTGTCTTCCTTGGCAATTCCTGATAACAATCCTGCTGTTTTATACTCCCCCTCCCCCGCATAGACTTGTGTTGTAAGCTCGTGGGACCTACATGTTGTAACCTTGAAGTCATAGTAGCAAGTTTATTTTTCCCTAAATCAGTAGGTGAATAGTTTTATGCATTTCTAAAATATCCTCATTTGTAAAACATTAAATCAGAATCAGGTATTTCTATTAAAGTCTAACTCGCACCTCCTGCTGCTTGAAATTAACCCTCAAATCTTCTTCCTCACAAGGAGCCTTCATCAGGTTCTGAAGTGTCTGAAGAACAGGCCTTACAGCTGGTCTGTAAGATCTTCCGTGTCTCCTGGAAGGACCGGGACAGAGATGTCATCTTTCTTTCTTCTCTTTCTGCACAATTTAAGCAGAACCCAAAAGAAGGTAGGAATCAAGCTCAGCTGTCATATTTCAGAGTCCTTAATAGAAAACCAGAATGAAAAATCTTTTGTCTTTCCATCCTATCCACATTCATTGTCTTGCTTTGCAGTTGTATTTTTGATTACAGGGATACTTCTTGATGAGGACACTGCTGTTTGGCTACTTTCCACCTATCTTATTGATAAATTATTTTTTTTACTTTTATGATTTCTCTGAAAGAAAACCATATAAATAAGTTAATGGTCTCTACTGTCTCAGGGTTGAAGTTTTTTCCTTTGCAATAAGAAGGTGCTTAGAGAGAGCATTAGCGCCTCTTATACTCTGGGCAGGAGTATACTGGGTAGTCTCCGGGGATCCTGAGAGAGGCACTCTGGATGACCTATACCTGCTGTAAGTGCCTCCCGGGTCATATGGAGACAGTGGAGTAAATCGGCTTGATTAAACTGCTTAGCAAGATAGCACATGTTGATATTTTGCAGTGTTTACAGGATTCTATTTTAAGAGGCTACACTAAACCACACTTACAGCAAAGTAATGAAACTCTTAGCAAGATACCAGCATTACAGGGCACACTCACTTTTCTCTACAGCAGTCATTTCGAGAACAGAAGAGGGAGGGGAAGTGCGCCGGAGTGTTCGTCTACGTATCACTAGTATATAACCTCCCTGATGGCAGGAATTTTTGTCTGTTTTGCTCACTGATGTATTCCCAGTGCCTGCACTTAATAATCCCTCAGTAGATATATTTTAAATGAGTGAATGAACATCAAGGAGATTGCATTCCCTTTTCTCTGCTGCTTGTCTTCCATGATAGACACGCGCGCGCGTGTGCGCACACACACGCACACACACACACACGGGTCCTCTGTGTTCCTGGTGGATGGATAGTTTACTTCACTGAGATCTTCTTAACTCTGGTTATAGAGATGAGCTTAGCAACCATGAGTTTCAAAACCCTGCCACTTGTAATTATTGTAACTGTTAAGATTCTTAAATCTGCCCAGTACATATATAAGTGGTAATTTTTAATAACAAATCAGATAAGATTTACATGGGTTAGACATTTTATTTATTTAGTAATATTTAAAATATATCTAAAGACCTACAGTAAAGCACTTGGGAGCTGCAAAGAATAAGAAGGAAGCTAGAAGACAAGCGTCTGCTCCAGAAAGGCAGGTGGCGACTAAATATTAGACCCTTCATAAAATACTTTGCACTTTGTACTTAATAGTTTAACTGTATATAAACATATATAGGTGAAGAAATATTAACCCAGTTGCATTTCTAGTGTGATAAACTAACCTCTGTAGTTGGGAGTAGCTTCTTTTTATAGTTAATATATATCAGCAGTGACTCTCATCAACTGGGCTCCAGTTCTTTTTTGTTTTTTTTCTAATAAGATTTCTGTTTTGGAATAATTTTAGATTTACAGAAAGTTCTAGAGATAGTGCAGGGAGGTCCTATATACACTTCACGCGGTTTTCCCTAACGTTAACCTCTTACATAACCATAGTATATTTGTCAGAACTAAGATATTACTGTTAACTAAACTCCAGACCTTATTTGGATTTCACCAGGTTTTCTACTGACGTCCTTCTACTGTTCCAGAATCCAACCCAAGATACCACATCGAACTTCTCTGGTTCACTTTGGCTTATCCAAGGACCGTGTGTATGAAGAACCATGTGTAACCTCTTCTTTATTCTGCCTTTCCAACAGTGTTCTCTGATTTTAAGGACTTGATTGGCCAGATTTTAATGGAAGTGCTAATGATGTCCACTCAGACTAGAGATGAAAACCCATTTGCCAGTCTGACAGCCACATCCCAGCCAATTGCAGCGGCAGCTCGGTCACCAGACAGAAACCTCATGCTAAATACCGGCTCCAATCCGGGAACAAGCCCCATGTTCTGCAGCGTGGGTTCCTTCGGTGCCAGCTCTTTATCTAGGTCGGTGTGGTTCTTTTTGCACATCTCATTGGTGGTAAAATAGCCAGGAAGTATGTAAGAGAAGGGAATGTTCACTTGTGGGCCTGTCATGCAGATTATGACATGTATTGTGTTTGGGGGATGGATTGACTCATTGAGGAGATATTGTCTCTTCCACTTGGGCCTCTTTGGCTTTCCATAGTTAGGCTATTGGTAAATAAAGTTTTAGGAACAAATGATTGTGTATAGTATATTATTCTTTGGAAAGAAGGCTTTCTCATATTATAAGTATAGCCTCTAAATCAGTACGGCAGTCTGATTACAGTTATTTAGATGAGTCTCTAAAAGATCTGTATACTTGAACGCTTAGAGATATGAAGTGAAATTATACTATTCTTTAAAAACATGATATTTTCCATTTTAGTTATTTATCTCAAGCTTTTCTTCAATTTTCTCTCCTTTCCTCCCTTTCTCAACTCGTTTAGCCTCTATGAGACTAGCCCAGCTCCCAGCATGAGTGTCTGGAGCTCTGTGCCAGTGATGAGTCTGCCTCTGGCCCCCCCGTCCCAGGCAGCCAGCCAGGCGTCCACTCCTCCCGCTTCCCTCAGTCCTCACGGCGCAGCTGCGGGGACACCTGCGGGAAGCCAGCCCTCGTCTCCGCGGTACCGGCCCTACACTGTCACCCACCCCTGGGGGTCGTCATCTTCTCCTGCCCCGCGGTCCTTGGGCAGCTCCATCCTGTCGAGCTCCCCAGGTCTGCCCACCCCAGCTAGTAGCCCTCAAGCCGTGCCCGCCAGCTCCTCCCGACAGAGACCCACCGGCGCGGGGCCACCTTTACTGTCCGCCTCACCCGGTGCGGGTGCCATGAGCAGACGGCCCTCCTCCCTAAGGAGCTCTCCTAGGTATCTATGCAGCAGGAGAGTCGGGTGCGTGTTTGCAGTGCAGGGAGAGGAGATTAACACGGTTTGGAAGAACTGTCGTGTGGCACTGACCTCAGTTACCTGTGTTTCTCTGTTTGGGGTCATTAACCCGCGTGTCTAACTGGTTCGGTAGGCTCGTGCCCCGAGTCCACGCCCAGCCAGGCTTCAGTCACATCAGAAAGTATGGGTTGCTTGATGGTGAGACCCTTTCTTCCCTTCTTCCCCCTCACTCTTCCTCCTTCCTGTACAAAATAAAAAGAAGTCACCTGGTGTTTGAAATCGAGTGCACATGTCATGCCTCATGACAAATGAATTTCAGAGACTGGGCAGCTTGTATCTGAGAGTTGGGGCTCACAGGACCACTTTTCCACGTTTCGTACTGTTGCTAATCATAGTTGAAATACAGTCAGACCAAGGGGTTGAGGGAGCAGATCCCTTACCTCTGGCAAGTGGTTATGCCTTGACACTTTGTTTTCAGCCCCTTAGAAAGAAGCAGTGTCGTGACTCCATTAATCCGCGCCCTCCACCCCTCAAGTGCTCCTATGCCTTGACATAATTTAGGTGATAATTTATTTTTCTGCATGTCAGTAGACAAAACTTGTAGTGTAAGATTTCATTAAAAGGCCAGCGATTGTAAAAGCTTTCCTCCTCTCTGTTTTCCTTTGTTCCCTGATGACTTTTTCTGCTTTTGTTACGGTGGTGTGTACGGCAGTCCTTTCTCCTTCCTCTTCCTCGCACTTTCTGGGGACAGTAGTGATGAAGATGGAGAAGAAGATGATGGTGAAGGTGATGGTGAAGGTGGTGGTGGTGGTGATGAGTTTTCTTGTGTCCAGTTTGGGTCCAGGTATCAGAGGAATGGAGTCTTACCCCTGCATGTGCCTAGGTGCTTAGGAACTAACTTTTATAAGTCTTAATTAGAGGTGTGCTTCGAATCCAAACAGGATAGGGTCAGATGACTCCAGGTGGCCTGGAGAGTCAAGATGTGAGAAACTTTGCATGTACTAAAGCATTAGGACCTTCTTATGGGGTAAAGTGGTACACAGAAAAAATTTCATAGTTGTTGCCTGACAAGTTTGGAGCAAAACTTACATGTAATCATTTGTCAAGAACATGAACAGGATCAGTCATCGTTAAGATCAAAGATTAAAGATCAGTCATCATTAAGTTCACCCACCCTAAGATCTAAAATGAGAGGCCCTCCATTTATCTGTCGGAAGAGTATTCTTATGAGCTGCCAGGTGTGAGCAAAATCTACTCTGGGAGGCATGTTTTCTTATGTACAGTTGCATGGATTGCTGCTATTTAGGAATGGCAGAGGGACTGGAACTTTGTGTGTCTGTGTGTGTGTGTGTCCCTCTCCAGCTCACTCCGGGCAATCCATTGAAGAGCATATGAGGTCATACTGTCTGGTATAACTGTGATGCTGCTTTCACTTCTTTTTTTTTTTTTTCTTTCAATAAATTTTTTTAATTTTATTTATTTATTGTTGGCTGTGTTGGGTCTTCATTGCTGCATTCTGGCTTTCTCTAGTTGCGGCAAGCGGGGGCTACCCTTCATTGCCGCTCGCGGACTTCTCATTGTGGTGGCTTCTCTTGTTGCGGAGCATGGGCTCTAGGCGTGCAGGCTTCAGTAGTTGTGGCATGCAGGCTCAGTAGTTGTGGCACACGGGCTTAGTTGCTCCGCGGCATGTGGGATCTTCCCGGACCAGGGCTCGAACCCGTGTCCCCTGCATTGGCAGGCGGATTCTTAACCACTGCGCCCCCAGGGAAGTCCCGCTGCTTTCACTTCTAATCTTAAATTTTGCTAATCGTTCACCTCCTTGGCCTTGGTAAAGCCAGACCGTATTTGTTTAGACGGCCTGTGGAATGGCAGCAGAGGCTAAAGCATAGCTCGTGATGTTGCTGAATGTTCACCCCTGAAAACCGAGTGAAAGAGACCGCTTGGGTCTTCTAGGTGACTTTGAGCAAGAAAATATAATAGCCCCGTCTTTCTAACCCTCCCACTCATTGTCTTACAATTTTGCTCTTAAATTGAAGTTTCCTCTGTACCAAGTTGATATTTGTGCCCAGCAGTGTTCAAAAATAGCTCCAGGCTATAAACAGAGACAGCCGTAGGAGTGAGGTACACTGCATTCAATTCGTCGGTGTTCAGAAGAGTCATTAGAGGGTATATAAAGAGAGAGAGGGGTGTTGGTGCAATGTCGAATATTGATTCAGGAAGGTCAATATTTGGATTAGGTTGAACGTTGTATCACTGTTCCTCAAGTAAATTTCCCAAAGATAGAAGTGTCTTTTTCGTGTAGATGAAGTCCTAATCCACGACTGTAGTAATGCAGCAGAGACATCCTTGTCAGGAATCAATTTCTGTACGTGATAGAAGTGCTTTATTATCTGTTTTACTGTAAGCTATCTGTGGGAGAAACGCTGTCTCTCTCTGGCCTGTTGAATTCCAGCTTCCTCTAACAAAGATACCAGAATTGTATGTTGCTTTCACTGACTCCGCTCTAGACTTCTAACATCCCAACCTTGTCTCGGATCTAGACTTGATAAGGAGAAATAAATCTTACCGATTATGTACTCATAGCTGCGAATAGTTGTGAGCATCACCTGCCGGGTACTGTGTCAGCTCTCAGCCTACGTTATCACTCTAATCCTCACAGCACCGCCCCTAGTTACTGCCAGGAAACGTGGGTACAGGGAGGTTAGTCACACAACTAGTACGAGGCAGAGCCTGAGTCCAGAACTCACATGCCTCCCACCATACCCAGCTGCCTCTGGCTTCTCCACCTTTGCCCAGTGGGACTTGTGTTGTTCTCATTCCTTACTGGTTATTTCGCTGCCCAGAGTTTACACATCTACTCAGTTCCTTGGCAAGAAAGTGCCAACATTTTACTCCTTAATTACAAAATTCCACTCCAGTCGGTTGGCAGGTCCTTTGCTGGCTGTTAAAATGAAATCTGATCTGTCCAGGTTTTAGAAATTACAGATTCTAAATAGATATCAAAAAGAATGTAGAATGACAGGGCGTATTCATATATAACTGATTAAACAAATAGAGAGGAACTTGAGAATGCACGTAGTGTCAGAACCAAGAAGTAGCAGAAAAATCTTATGAATTTGGGCAGTCGGTGAAGAGTTCTTTTCTTTCCCCTTTTCTGATTGATCTTCTCAGAATTTTATTTACTTTGAAGTAAGCACTTTTAACATCCACTTCTCGTCTGGTAAGATCAATGTCATAGAAGCAGCAGTCAAGGGGGCTTGCTTCTGTCTCCCTCTGTGCTTGCCCAGTGGAATCGATGGGTTGTACATCTTTTGTGAACTAGTTAGGACGTACATTCCTATGTTAATTGTTTATAGTGGTTATAATAAGGGTTCATTTAAGAAAGGCAAAAACGTTCCCTCTAGAATGTTTCGTAGCGCTCTGGGAAAAAAGCTGTAAGAATTATAAGGAGCTGCCTCCTGCAGGGATGGAAATTAGTGAAGTGAGAGTTATCTTTGTAATAAAGATAACAAAGGAATTATTCTGAGGAAACGTTTTCTGATTGTTTCCTGGGAAGTTGAGGACTAGAAAGAAGTTTTTCTTTCGTTTATTGGGTTCTTCTTTTCACTGCCTAGATATTTCAGTGAAGGAGATCAAATCTTGAAAGTCATGAGCCTAGGTGAATAGAGAAAGAGAAAACTAGCAAATAGTGGAAAACATTGACCTTTCCCCTCTTATTTCTGCTGACCATCACTATTTGGAGATGAAGCAACGGAGATGGTTGAAAGGAAATCTTGCTACCATATCTGTCCCCCAAACCCTCCAGTGATTTCCCTTCTCCCACAGAGTAAGACCCAAAGCCTCTCACCCTGGCCTGCAAGACCGTGCATCCCACATGTACACACACAAACACACACACACACACTCACACTCACACTCACACACTCTTCCTGCCCCTCTCTGTCACCCATACTCTGCCTTTCTTTGCCTTCATAGCACTTAAAGCACTTCTATACTATTATTTTTTTTTAATTGTCTCCTCTCTGTAATGTAGTTGCCATATAACAAGGTCTTGATCTGTTTGCTTCAGTGTACTACCCCCAGGACCTTCGACAGTGCAGACATTTGTTCAGGGAATTTACATGGCTTGACCCTGCCCAGCTCTACCTTTGCCTTGCATCTAGAATATATACCATTCCAAAGTCTGCATCTAAAAAAGTAATAAAATAGGGTGATTATTCCCACGATAGAAGAAAGGAAACTGCGATGGAATCCTTTTAAGAAACAAGTTTTCTTGGTACATTTAAAATGGGACGCAATTTGCACAGATCTGCATGTATAAATCCCCAGAAATATTTTCATTGTGTTTTCAGAAGGATTCAGCTGTATTTCCAATATGTGAAGTAATTACATTATTCAGTTGGATTGTTGATGTCGTTATCAGAAAATGATTCACATATTCTCCCAAGGGAGGTATAATTTTATAGATACTCCTAGGACTTAAACATGACATATTTCCAATGTCATATTCCATATGTTACGGTTGTAAAAGCATCATGAATTTCATAACTCCTTTAGGAAAAAAATGAAATACTATTTTAAAACATTTTAAAATGTCCATTGATAGCATAAATTTAATGCTTATAAACTGTACACCCCTTGCTCCTTCAGTATCACATTCAAAATTTGAGTTCAGCTCTTTTGAGTTCAAACCTAGAGGTCCTTATAAACCAGTTTTGACCACTGACAATCATACACATCCCTGGTGACACCGGCCGCTTTGCATACCTGTGCTCATGATCTACTTAGGCACCCTTAGGACTGATCTTATAATTTGGAAGCATATTGACGAACACTAGGGTTTATTCTTTGTTTTCTGTTTAGTTAAACTTAGGTTTCTTTTTTTTCTTTCTTTCTCTTCTCTTGAAAGTCACTTGGAAGTGTTGTTTGGTGCCTGACAGATGATCACAGCATACCTCAACGTCTTTTATCTTTGAAACTTCTCTTATACGTTCTGAGTGTCTCTCATTGCCTTGCCTGGCAGTCTCGTACACACCCTGTCAGTTTTCATGCCTTTACGAAATGTTCGTGAAGGCATTTCGGTTGACTTTGAGGTGTTCAGATCTAAGTTAAAATGAAAGGGGACGTTTTGGCTGAGAATGGAACCCAGTGTCAGTGCATCAGCAGCCACCAGCTAAGCGCATTGACTTCCCACAGTCGTTCACCGGCACAGCATCAGACTGACTCCTTGCAACTGGCAAGGACCTATTGGCATCAAATATCAGATGCTTTCCATTTCAGAGGTGTAAAAATGTGAGAAAGATGGGGCTTATTATCAAGGAAATGTATAGTTTAAATACTTCATTTTAAACATGAGGAAGGTCTAATTTCATTGTCATCTGTGAGAGCTTTTCAAAGGGAATTTAACCTTAACCGTGTATAGTTATAAGCCTGTGTTAGCAGATTTCATCTTTGAGAAGTGCAGTGAATATAGTCCCTGAGTCACTGACTCAGATGGAAGAGGGAGGGATAGCAGATAGCTTGAGAGCAGGATCGTGGCAGGTAACGCCAAATATCTTTTTCCCCTGTCTCCTTCTGGGGATTCACCACACTTCTTATATTTATGGGTGGGTTTTTCTGTTTTGTTCTTATGTTTTTTTTTTTTTTCCTTTGCTTTATCTTTCTGTCCTCATCTTTCTGTTGTCAGGCCAATTAACAGATAACAGATCTTACCATACCATGAAATGTAGCCCAAAATTTAAGTTGTGTGAAGACACAAGAATTGTTTTTGGTTTTTTTGAGGTTTCCCACCCTGGGCTGCCCATCTTTGTCTCTGGTGAGGCACTTTGTGGGTGGCTCCATTACCTGCCCAGTCAGGAGGGCGCTGGCTGCCTTGTGCTTTTTTTAAAAAAATAAATTTATTTATTTATTTATCTTTGGCTGTGTTGGGTCTTCGTTTCTGTGCGAGGGCTTTCTCTAGTTGTGGCAAGCGGGCGCCACTCCTCATCGCGGTGCGCGGGCCTCTCACTGTCGTGGCCTCTCTTGTTGCGGAGCACAGGCTCCAGACGCGCAGGCTCAGTAGTTGTGGCTCACGGGCCGAGTTGCTCCGCGGCATGTGGGATCTTCCCAGACCAGGGCTCGAACCCGTGTCCCCTGCATTAGCAGGCAGATTCTCAACCATTGCATCACCGGGGAAGCCCTGCCTTGTGCTTTTGACTGCTTCTCAGCCTCCCCTCCTCCCTTCCCTTCTATCAGACCTATGTAATAAGTAAGTTGTAAGTATTCAGATTTACGAGACTCTGGCCTGAGGGCCTTGGATTTAAAGCCTTGGCATTGTTTTCATCTTTTTAAATTGAAATACTCTAATATCATACTTTCATTCCAAGGTCAATTATGTATATTCTTCTAAAATTCTAAGGTCAGTTATGTATATATTCCAAAATTACTTTTGTGTATCTATGCATCTATCTGCATAACGTATCATTAATATCTTAATTCTTCTTTTAGTTTCTAAAAGAAACTATCTGCCCCAGGCTGAAGTAGGGATGGGTATCTCAAGTTCCTGATATTCTTCCCCGCCTTTATCATCTTTCACATGTAAATTTTTTTTGTTTTTTGCTAAGTTTATATTTTTTCATTTGTCTTCATTTCGTAATTCCTGACTTCTTCCTATGCCATGATTAATCTTTTTGTATCTTTTATGTCTATCAAATTTGTGAGTTAAACATCAGATTTGGTATTTGACCTATTGATGGTTAATCTAAACTTTGATTTCCTAACACCTAACCCTTGTGATAATGGTCTCAGGGAATAGTTGTTACTAATAATAACAGTGCCTCACGTTGTATCCTGCTTATATTTTACAAAGCACCTCCACATGATTTTATTGAACCCTCACTGCAGATGAGATGAAGTTCTGGGTTCAGGTAACAAGTAAGCAGTAGGGATGGGAATAGAACGCAAGTTTGGATACTCCTAGTGCAAGGTTTTTGTTTTGTTTTCACTATACTACTTTGTCCCTTTTGCCAAACATTTTGGAAAATTTGTGTTTGTAACATATTTTTCATGTCTCCTTCTAACTGGACGGTTTTCCTAAGCCCTGGTCCTGTTGCCAAATGCTGGATGAAGGCTTTTAAGATCTGTGCTAGAAGTTAGGAAGAGGGGTGTTTTGTTAGTCCCTTGTAACTTCCCTCCTAAAGACTTCGATTACGTAATAGCGTAGGCTGGCTTTAACAGCTGGATTTACATACGTATGGTATCCCTTCAAATGCCCAGCGCTCAGTAGCAATTCTTAGAGTCCTCCTCGTTTTGTAAGGTGTTGTTCCCAAGAAGATAAGGTGTTGGGTTTCTGGACAGACTTTCTTCTTAGGTCAATAAAACGTTTACTAAAAATTGCTACTGTTGGGCTTGGAGCAGGTGAAACAAGCAGTCCGCTCCAGCCTCGGCTGCATGGGTGTCTGTGCTTTGTTCTGGGTGTGGGGACCCTAACGGGCTTTCTGCACAAGTGCGAACTCTATCAAACATGATTTATCGAGAACAGATAAAAATCATCCATTCTTCTTTTCTCCAAAGTCTGGGAGCCTCTGGTGGGGCAAGTACTTGGGATTCCTACAGCGACCATTTCACCATTGAGACGTGCAAGGAGACGGACATGCTGAACTACCTCATCGAGTGTTTTGACCGAGTTGGGATAGAGGAAAAAAAAGCACCGAAGGTAACGTGAAATGGATTCATTTTAGAACCCCCACAAAAACCTGGTGGATAAATAATTGGTTTTTGACCCCCTAATGAGCATTCAATCATGTATTCAATCAGTAAAGTGGTTATTGAGCATCTACTATGGGTCAGGCACTGTGTTAGAAGCTGGGGGTGGATCAGTGAACCAGACAGACGAGGGTCCCAGTCCTCATGGAGCTCACATCCTAGCGGAGGGAAGAAGTGACAGGGCCAAGTGCCACTGCCACCAGCGATTTACACGGCCCTGATGATTTCTCTCCTAGTCTGTCGTAATCATAATAACCAACATTTATGGAGCGCCTAGACTGCCAGACACTTGGCTAGGTCTCATTCTCACAGTTGTTCATTAGTCCAGTGTGGTCCTGTGTGGTATAAGTATTATTTTTTTCCATTGTGTTAATAAGCAAATGAACCTCAGAGAGATCAAGTACATACTAACCTCGGTCTTTCCTAAAAGCCAAGTGGCGTGAAGTGAACTTTCAAAAAGCGAGGGATACCTGTAATTGTCCAGAATCACATAAATAATAAATTGCAAAACTGGGTTTAAACTCAGCAAGCTGCACTTTTTCTTCTATTTCATGCTGAGTTACTTTATTATTATTGCATTTCATTCCTATTTCATTTTCTTTTTTTAAGTTTTTATTGGAGCATAGTTGATTTACAATGTTGTGTTAGTTTCAGGTACACAGCAAAGTGAATCGGTTATACGTATACAAATATCCACTCTTTTTTTTAAAGGTTCTTTTCCCATATAGGCCGTTGCAGAGTACTAAGTAGAGTTCCCTATGCTATACAGTAGGTCCTTATTAGTTATCTGTTGTATATATAGTAGTGTGTATATGTCAATCCCAATCTCCCAATTTATCCCCACCCCCACCCCCCAATTTCATTTTCTAGTTTTGGTTTTCCATTGGAAACTAATCCGGTTGTCAACCTGTTAGTTTCATATTTGTGAAGGGCCTCTTGGGGTTTGCTGCACTTAACCTTAGCAAAATCAAAGAGAGTGGGCATATCTCTGAAATCTCCACGTGGTCACCTGAAGCTTCTGCTTCTCTCTTCTCTAATTGTAGATTTTAGCGGAGACATTATACTTGGATGATACAGTTACTCGAGTTTGTTCATCATCAGTGAAGGAAGAGAAAAGGATGCCATTTCCTGCAGATTGATCTCTTCTGACTCTTTGTCAGTTTTCAACTGTATGGGATTATTTTGTTTGTTTTTGTAGACCTAACCTCTACCTTTCTTTGCAGATGTGCAGCCAGCCAGCAGTCAGCCAGCTTCTGAGCAACATCCGCTCACAGTGCATATCCCATACTGCATTAGTACTACAAGGGTCCCTCACACAACCAAGGTATGAAAAACCAATATGTGCTTGCTGTTAGCAGGGAGAGGGCCCTCTCCATCAGGCTGCCCAGCCATTCTGCACCACGTTGGATAACTCACTTCCTCACCCATGAAATGAGTGGTTGACTAGATGGTTTCTGAGGTCCCTTTCTTTCTCTAAAATACTATGAAAATAAAACACTCTGTGTGCTTTATTGAGATAGACTGTGGTTGAAATATGTTGACATCAGGGCAGGAAATTAGTAATTCAGTTTAAAAACAGCTGCTTGAAAGCAGTATAGATACTTGGAAAAAGATGTGCAGATCATCACTTTCCATGTATCATATAATCAATTTCTGTTATTCAATAATAAAGAATAGTGGTGGAATAGGTAATATGGGAATCACCCAAAGTGTACTACATTATTAATTTTTGTTCAGAGGGTCCCGTAAAGGTTTCAGGTTTAATAAAAGAAAAGAGTATTTCTGTATTTCATTTCTCTTATGAAAAAACATCTAAGGGAAAAATGACAAAGTTCAAGATTTATTCATTCTGGATGATCTTACCGTAACCATTTTTGAAATTTGTCAGGAAAAAAAAAAAAGGAAAATGATGCACATGTACTAAAACTTAAACACTATTCCATGGTTAAAATTAATAAGAGCTTGAAAAAGTCTTCAGCCACTGCTAATCTTTTTTTCCCCCATTGGATGAGGCATAAATAAATAAGTAAAAGAGACGTATAATACTTTGGTTTTTCTAATGCTTTATTTTTCGAGGGCTATATGGAGGCAAAGATGGATCCTTTCAAACTTTCTGTAGTTTCTCACTGAAAAGCCCCAAAAGTGATTAACTTAACAATGAGAAAGGTGATCTTTTGCCTAAAACGATTGACTGTGTGTGGATTATTTGGGAAATTTGAAGCTTGACCTGTGATTGTCAGCTACATGACATTCTGTATGTTCTGTTGTTACACGGTGACAAGTTGATTCATCAGAGCCCTTGACTTTCGTGGGTCTGCAGGTCCCTGCAGCAGCCGTCCTTCCTGGTGCCGTACATGCTGTGTAGGAATCTCCCATACGGCTTTATTCAAGAACTGGTGAGAACCACTCACCAGGATGAAGAAGTGTTCAAGCAGGTAAGGTTTTGTGCGTTTGCCACCGAAACTTCTGGATTAGGAGCTTCCCTGCCGAGCTAGATTTCTAAAGACACCATATATTGAAAACTTTGGTTCCTGAATTTGAGCAAGCAGGTTATTTGCTCAGAGAGAGCCCGAGGTTCCTGTCTTGAGGAAATCAGATTGACAGCTGCATTGTTCAAATCATGTGTACATTTCAACTAATCACTCAAGCATCAGGTATTTTAAACGTGGTCTGTGCTAAGTGCTTTGGGAGAGTAGAAGAAATATAAGGCCCTGTCTTTGATTTTAAGAAGCTTTTAACACACTACCAAGAGGTAGCATAAGACGTGATATACATTTGCCAGATAAGTAGTGTTGAAAATTAGTTCTCTGAGTTTACAAAAAGGAGATTAATAAATCAAAGACCAAATTAGCTCAGCTGCAGTTTGCACGTCACATAAAACCATTGTCTTCTCACCACTAGACCAGGAATGAAGTCTCAGATCTTACTGATTACTTCATTCATTAAGTATCCATACATTTTTGATATCCCATTGTGTAAAGGCAAGTGAAAATGCAGATATGTAATATTTAATAATAAAGCTTAATAATAATAATAACAACTAAAAAAGTTAGTCTTGAAGATTTCTTCCAAGGTAAAACCTTGGCATGAATTTTGGTTACTGTTCTGTGGCCTGTGTTGTAAAGTAAGCACTTTGCCACAGCAACTTTAACACAGCGGTTTCCCATGATGAAAGGATGCTAATGACATTTTCTTACAATTTGTTGTATGATAATCTCTTTTTTTGTTTCTAGAAAGAATAATAGAGGCAATAGCTACAAATGATATGATTCCTTTTAATCTGTTTTTTTAAAAACTCTGTTTGTTTGTTTGTTTGTTTATGGCTGCTTTGGGTCTTCGTTGCTACGCACGGACTTTCTCTAATTTTGGCGAACGGGGGCTACTCTTCATTGCGGTGCGCAGGCTTCTCATTGCAGTGGCTTCTCTTGTTGCGGAGCACAGGCTCTAGGCATGCGGGCTTCAGTAGTTGCAGCACACGGGCTTTAATAGTTGCAGCACACGGGCTCAGTAGTTGTGGCTCATGGGCTCTAGAGTGCAGGCTCAGTAGTCGTGGCGCATGGGCTTAGTTGCTCCGCGGCATGTGGGATCTTCCTGGACCAGGGCTCGAACCCATGTCCCCTGCATTGGCAGGCAGATTCTTAACCACTGCGCCACCAGGGAGATCCCTCATCTGTTTTTATACCTAATATTATTTTTAACTGTTCATATTGAGGCCTTTGAATTCTCAGGAAGTGTGTTTTCAGCAGTTTTCAAAATATTAGTAAAAGAAGCATCCAGGAGTGAAAATCCCAGTCAGTGTTGTGTATTCTGTATTTGGAATTTATCAACTTCTCATCTTAGATGATGGTCTTACTGACTTATAGAAATATTTTAGGCATTATAGTGAGCTTTTCTTCTCTAGAAAATTAAGTGAACTCTGATGAAAATATATAACTGTCTTGGAAGGTTTAAGTGATACACTGTATTATATGTGTAATATACATAAAGTAGAATACTTCTACTCAAAAAGACATCACTTGAGGAACCAGAGTAGCTTTACCTGTATGAAAGCCTGGAGATCAGCTAAAAAAGTATGTTATATGCCTATTTTATTCATAAAGAAACGTACATAGAGGCTATGAAATGACCTCTATGTGTGTTTTTTTGTTTTTATATTTTAAATTTATTTCATCTTATTTATTTTTTGGTTGCGTTAGGTCTTCGTTGCTGTGCGTGGGCTTTCTCTAGTTGCTGCCAGCAGGGGCTACTCTTTGTTGCGGTGCGCGGGCTTCTCAGTGCAGTGGCTTCTCTTGTTGTGGAGCATGGGCTTTAGGCACGCGGGCTTCAGTAGTTGTGGTGCACGGGCTTTGTTGCTCCACAGCATGTGGGATCCTCCCGGACCAGGGCTCGAACCTGTGTCCGCTGCATTGGCAGGCAGACTCCCAACCACTGCGCCACCAGGGAAGCCCGATCTGTTTATTTTTAATCACAGAATTCTGATCCCTTGTCTTTTCTTACGTGTCACCATGTTTCCTCAAGAGAAATGATGAGTACAGTGGAGTTGCTGAACTGAAAAACAGCATTTTACCTTTTGTCTTAAGAATGTGGCAGATTTGAATGATTAAATCTTTTGACTGAAATTTCAGTCTTCCTTTAATTAAAGTTTGAGGTGTTCATAGATAAATAAACAGCAATAAATAGTAGCTAGAATTTAGAATTGGAGATGAACACGGAGCATTTTTTTATCGGTGCTGGGAGGTATTTATTTGAAAATAAAATTATTTTAAAAACGTTAAGTCACACAAACAGTATAATGTTCGATATTTGAAAAGTATTATGTTTAGTAATATTTTGTCTGCTTATTATAATTTAAACCCTACTTGCAAAAGAGGATAACTCTAAAGAAGTTTTGCTTTATAGCGTTCCTGAAAAAAATACTTAAGAGATTTTTCTAGATGATCAATTGTGAAATTTATTTTTTGGTGATTCTGGAACTACTGTTTTTCCCTCGATTGCAGTTTGGGCATTTCCCATCCCTACACCTAAGCACTTCCTCTCCATTTTTAGCTGGCTTACGAAAGCACATTACTTCTACCCTGATTGCTTGCGTTGTGAGAACTAGAAGGATCTCTTCAAGAGCTGTGTTGATATCTCAAGACATTCCAATACACTTTGTAATGCAGGGCACCTTTTTAATACTGTGCTCCTTAAATGACAAAGGTGTTCCATACAATGGGATGAAATTAGTAGGAAAGAGAATTTTTCAGGTTTTCTAGTAGCTTTTTAGAACACTACCTTTTTCAACTTGTTGGCATTCAGACTGTCAGCTGTTGTTTACAACATTTTCAGCTTAATGTTATTAGTCTTGAATCCCAACCAACTCCCTAAATGTGCTGCTCAGTGAGTACACTGTGAAATTTAAACATAAACTGTGCTGAGCAGATTCTGCAGTGTTCCTGTGCCCTGATATTTAATGGTAAGCTTATAAACTTAAATTTGAGAGCCCTTAGGCCAACATCAGGTTGTTGTATTAATCACGCCATATATGGAGGTAAGGCATCCTGATGAGGTTTTCTTTTTCAGTTTCAACATTTACCAGCCATCTCTTTGTTCTACATAATTCAAGTTAAGATACTAATAATATTCATTGTTGGTCTATTTTTTTTTGTTCTCTTCGAAGTAAACAAGGAAAGATGGAGAGAATTAAATGTAGGTGTAGGGGTGGCAACAAAAAATTTCTTAAAATGTTAATAGAATTGAGCAGATATTGGAACATTTAGTCCAGTTTCTTTACAGATTATAGGTGCTTGGTAATCAGAAACATATTCATTGCTGTGATTTGCAGGTTAGATTAATTTATGTGACTAGAGCAAGGAGCCCGGGAGAGTCCTACAGCAGGCTCCACATTTGTGAGTTTCTGTTGAATCACGGGGAGTCTTGTCAGAGTTTTAGGGTTCACCAAAACCTATTACTTCTGGAGAATTCAGCTGCCGTACTTTATGGTCAGCCTTGTAAAAGGACAAAGCAGCACCCTGTGGCTGGATTCTAGGCTCCTGTATATGCAAAACAGCTTTTCCTTGGGCAGGCAGTGCAAATGCCTGGACTTGCAGATTCGGCGCTTTATTTGACATGCCTCCTGTTCTTAAATTTTCTTTAACTTATATTTCTGATTTTTTTTTTTCTTGTAGATCTTTATCCCCATTTTACAAGGCCTGGCTCTTGCTGCCAAAGAGTGCTCCCTCGATAGTGACTACTTTAAATACCCCCTCATGGTAAAACTTTGTTCTTTTCCTTGTAACACATTCAGTACATGTTTTTCTTCCAGATGATTTTAACATACACTTTTCTTTCAGGTCCATGATCAACCTTGTTTTCAAACTTAAAACATGAAATCATTGTGTTGGCCATGCAGAGTGTTTGGTGTGCAGTGAGATGCATCAGTGAAGACAGTTAGCAGCGCGGTACATATTTCACCATCCGAGCCTTAGACAGGAGTCAGTGATGCAGTCATTAAAATGTACTTTGCCTTACTCTATAGCTTATGAAAACAATAATCATTGGTGGTCTCCTTCTTGATTGTCATAGCAATGAGCATACCATATTTGGGGTGAAATTTTGTTAATTAAAAAAAAGAACTGTGACAAATGCAAATAAAGAAGGCAGAGTTAGATTAAGAAAAGGAATACAATTTTGTCTTTACATAGTGACTTTGCACAGAAAATTTCACAGTGCTGCTCTTGTTCATCTTGCCCGTTTCCTGAGGCTGTACACTTCACTTCAGGCTTTACTTGGAAAACACAAATTTGCTCAGCTCCTCCAGGCACTTAGGGGAAGCATAAATTGTGGACAGAACTATTGGCTAGATTCTCACCAAGAGTCTTCAGAGTTGTGAAAATATTGGAACCAGAAAGAAAAATAAGAGGCTGTTTTCTTCTCTGACCTTTGCTTCTTTAAAATTTTGGGAGAAAAATACTTTGAAGTATTACTGAATATTTTTCATTCTTAAAGTATGAAGGAAAAATACCAAAACATGAAATTAGTTGACTCTGTATAAATACGACCTTGTGTAAATTGAAGCCTTGGTTAAATTGATGTTTTGCTGCCCGTGTTCCTTTTACTCATTCTGCTAACTTGGTTCCATCTTACCATTAATTCACTGCTTCCTGAGTGCCTCAAGTGTGACACACACAGAGGACCCAGGAGCTCATGAGATAAGGTGCCTCTCCTCAAGGCAAAAATCAAGACCACAACGATACAGTCAGATAATTACAATCAGTGCAAACACAGAGGTGTATTTATCTGTTTCAGAAAATCAAAACTGAGCTAAAAGGCTAAATATTAAAGTTAAACATTAAAACATTAATGTTTTAAACATTAAAGCCAGGTAAATAGAAGGTGAAGCAGGAAGTCTTAGTTTTAAAAATAAATTTGAATGAATTTATGTCAGGGTTCTTCCTAGTGCACATGTTATTCCGGTTCCTATTGAAATTCCATTAATCCTTATGCATTGTTCTGTCTTTGGCACATAAAAAGAAGTGGAAAAATCTGATTATTTGAGTTCAGCGATGAAATCTCTTAGTGTACATTAATTATCACTGTATTATATAAATATTCCCTCCTGGAATTGTTGGCTTTTCTCTTGTGGTTTGAATTAGCTTGATGATCCAGTAAGGAGCTTTTAGTGTCAGATATCAACAAAGTGTTCTTCTGGGTCAAAAGACAAAGGCCTCCATTATGATAGACAATAGTTTTATTTTGTACCATTATTGATGCTTGTGCAGCAAAGGGAGTGCAGTGAGAGAAAAGGCAATAATTTAAGGCAGGAAGAGGAAGACCGTTGGAGCTAAAATCAGAAAGAAGCATGATTATCCTCTAGGTCAGTGGATCCCAACTTTGCCATACCTTGGAATCACCTGGGGATCTTTAGAAAGTACCTCTGCCTGGCTCTCCAAAGCTGTGACTTAATTCGTTGAGGATGTGGTGAGGGCATGGCCTGGCATGGGGCTTTCAGAGGCTGCCCAGGTGATCCTAACGTGCAGCTGAGTTTGGGAGCCCTGGTGCTGAGCAGGGAGAATGTTTCCTTCTCAGTGGCTCTCTGAGCCTCAGTGCCTTCTCAGATGTGTCAGTGCCTAAATGCATGGACTCAAAAGCTTCCAGCAGCAGTTTTAGCAACTTCCATAGCAACATCCAAATCACAGAGGAAATTAAATTCACTGTTAAAATAGTGTTTGACTGTATTACTATGGCCATGGTAAACTCTTTTTATGTGCCTAAGAACTACATTTACTGATTGTCTTAACTCGAGAACGATTGGAGCGCCAAAGGAAAACTTTCAGGTTCTCAAAAAACAAGGGATCTTGAAACCAAGGAATACTTTTAAATATATTTTGAATTTGGTCACTTATTAAATTTTAATTATTTATAGTCCTGTTTAATACTGGCAAGACTAGCCATCTAAAGTTTATGAAGCATATCTTTTTGGTATAGAAAGATGTTAAATGAAAAAATCACTTATTGTAAGAATACACTCATTTACCTCTGTGTGTATATGTACAAAAATATGTCTAGAAAGCTCTTGGCCAAAATATCAATAGAGGTTATCTCTGAGGGTAAAGTTTATGAGTTACTTTTAGTTTCATTTTATATTTCTGTTTTATCTGAAGTTTTTTACAATTCACATGTACTAGTTTATTCATCAGAAAAGCAGTGAAGCTATTTGTGCTTTGTTGGGAATGCATACATATCTATAGCAGCGTTAAAGCTATGTCTTGATGTTACACATGGTGGTCAGTTTAGGATGAAATACATTTAAATGACCCTTTCTGATCTTGTTTCTAGGCTTTAGGTGAGCTCTGTGAAACCAAGTTTGGAAAGACACACCCTGTGTGCAATTTGGTAAGTGCCACCCTAATGGACTTGCACATTTTCAGTGAACATGTAACATAGAAGATATTCCTTAAGTAACAGTATCTGAAAAATGTCTCTTGAAGGACGTTGAGATGCAGATGTGAGTAATACATGTGGGAGGCTGTCAACTGTTACATTGTTGTCACCTACATTATTTCCGGGAATGACATTATTCACTTTTCTTTTGTGATTTTCGGGAGATAAGTATTGTACAGCTAGTATAACAGGTCCTATTGGAAACGTTTCCTTGAGTCCTTTGCTGGTACAGGAATAGTTCATTTGCATGATATCAAATATTATCATGAAACATAGAAATTAAAAGTATATCTTGTAAAAATGTAGAGGACCTGGAGGGCTTTCCTTCATCTGAAATGAGAAAAAGTGGACAGGGATCCTAACATATTTGTGACCTTGTGTTTTTGGATGTTAAGTGTCAGCCATTTTGCTGGTGGCTAAGAACCAGCTGAACAGGTCAACTGCTGAGAATTCTTTTTGTCTCATTTTTACATCACTTGCTGATTTAGCAGCTTGACTTGCCCCTTCTGTTTTTTCCTAGGTTGCTTCTTTGCCTTTGTGGTTGCCTAAATCATTAAGCCCTGGCTCTGGGCGGGAGCTGCAGAGACTCTCGTATTTGGGGGCTTTCTTTAGCTTCTCAGTCTTTGCAGAAGATGATGTAAGTACAGCGGCCCTTTGCACTTTGCTGCTCTTATATTCAAGTTCTTCCCCAAATGTATATTATACGTTGATTGAATTTTTGCTTTCTCTTGCCAGGCAAAAGTGGTTGAAAAGTATTTCTCAGGGCCTGCCATTACCCTGGAAAACACTCGTGTGGTGAGCCAATCACTGCAGCATTACTTGGAGCTGGGAAGGGTAGGTGTTGAGAAAATGAATCCAAAGGATGAATGTGTTTTCAGTTCTGAAAGTTAAAAGCAGCACAATTATAGGCTCATTATAGTGTGATTAAGGTAATTGGACCCCTGTCCTGGAAAGGAAATAGCAAAGGCTATTTTATGAAAACTATAACCACTCCCCTCTTCCGCTCCACATTCTGCTTTTGTGCTGATCATCTTGATACAGTTGAATACGGACTTTTCTTCTATTCTTGTAGTCAGGTTCTTCTAAAATGAGTGGACGTTAGGAGAGGAGAAAAAGTGGGAAGGAGTTTAGCTTTTTGTAACGTCAAAAAGGAATAATTTCTTAAACAAAGTTTTAATTTTTTTCCTCCCTTATAAAATAAATTTCAGCAAGAGCTTTTCAAGATTCTGCATAGCATTTTGTTAAACGGAGAAACCCGGGAGGCTGCTCTTGGTTACATGGCAGCTGTCGTCAATGCCAATATGAAGAAAGCACAGATGCAGGTAGGATTCCTGAAGGCTCTGCTTTTACTCATTCATAAAATTCATTCATCCGAGTCATATTTATTCAGAACCTACCAGACATTGTGCTAGGAAATGGAGATGCAGTGTTGAACAAGATAGACAAGCTTCCTGCCTTTGTGGAGCTTATGTTCTCTAGGGTAGATGAGTAGACATGTAAATGTTTAATTCTAGAATCGATGAAGCCAGTGAAGCAAAGTAGAGGACTTGAAAGTAATAGTGGAGGCACCAGAAGGAAGGCATGGGAGTGTGCAAGGAGGAGACATTTGATCAGAGACCTGACTGATAAGAAAGAGCCAGCCATCTCAAGGCTGAGAAAAGAGCTTTCTAGATAGGTGTGAAACACGAAGGTGGGAATGAACCAGCTTTGTAACGAGCCCCACGTGCAGGCTTTCGTGGCTGGAGGTTAGTGAACAGGAAGGAAACAGGCGGGTCATGGGCTGGAGGGGTGGGCAGAGGCTCCATCAGGTTGAGCTGATGTTGTAAGAAGAGTCTTGAGGAGCCACTGGAGGGTTTTCGGGAAGGAAATCACCAAGTCTGCTGTGTGGAGGATGGGCTAATGGGAGGAGGGGGTACAGGAGCCAACCCGAGGAGACCAGGTACAAGGTGCAGTGTTCTTGATGAGGGAGGCTGGTGGCTGGGACCACTTTACCAGCATGGAAAAGTTAAAAGGGCATCCTTGCTGTATTATTATTATTATTATTAATATATTTATTTATTTATTTATTTATTTTTGGCTGCATTGGGTCTTTGTTGCAGAACGTGGGCTTTTCTCTAGTTGCGGTGCGCGGGCTTCTCATTGCAGTGGCTTCTCTTGTTGCGGAGCACGGCCTCCAGGCGCGCGGGCTCAGTAGTTGTGGCGCACAGGCTCAGTAGTTGTGGCGCACAGGCTTGGTTGCTTCACGGAACGTGGGGTCTTCCTGGACCAGGACTCAAACCTGTGTCCCCTGCATTGGCAGGGGGATTCTCAACCACTGCACCACCAGGGAAGCTCCCTTGCTATATTATTAGTGAGCGATGCGACATTTCTACTCAGAAGAAAGAGCAGAGAGAAGAGCATGGACGTGGTATTAGACTGCCTGGATTTCCAACTGGGGTTCCACTGTTTGCCGGCAGTAGGACGGAGACAGTTGCTTCTCTGTGCCTCCATTTCCTTGTTGCCAAGTGGGGATAATAATAGCACCTGACTCGTGGACTTAGTGTATATAAAGCTGTTAGAATCATGCCCAGTATGTGGTGAGCACTCCACCGATGTTAACTATCTTTATTAGAATTATGGTCTTTTTTTTTTTGGCTGTGCCACACGGCTTACAGGATCCCCAACCAGGGATTGAACCCAGGCCCTAGGCAGTGAAAGCACGGCGTCCCAACCACTGGACCTCCAGGGAATTCCCGGAATTGTTGTATTCTTAAAGCAGGATTATGCTATCTCTGTCAGCCAGAGAAGCCGTTAGTCAAGTGGTAACTGAAACGAGTTGTTCCGATGCTTTTGAGGGGAAATAAAAAAGAGAAAGGAAATAGCATTTATTGCATTTCTGCTTACTGATTTTGAGGATCTTAGGCAAGTCACTTAAATTCTCTGAGCCTTAGTTTCCTCCTCTGTAAAATGTGAATAACAGTACCATTCAATTCTAAGGGCTGTTGTGGAGATTCAGTGAGAGAAAACCGTTCACGTGTGGTTAACACTCAACAAATCGCACCTGCCAGTGGAGTGACAATGGTGGTGCTATAGGTGTCCCCTCGCTGACTTCAGGATGAAAGTTTGCTCCCCTTTCTTGTACACTTGTGCCAAAATTTCTGTTCAGATCATGATTTTAAATACTTTTCTCTTTCACAGACGGATGATAGATTGGTATCTACAGACGGATTGATGCTGAATTTCCTTTGGGTGCTGCAGCAGCTAAGCACAAAGATCAAGTTGGAGACGGTCGACCCCACATACATATTCCACCCGAGGTGTCGGATTACTCTTCCCAGCGATGAGACGAGAGTGAATGCAACGATGGAGGACGTGAATGACTGGCTGACTGAACTTTGTGAGTGACACGTTCATTGTTAGGTCGCTAAAAGCTGCCCTTCTTTTATTATTGTTTTTTGGTTGTGCCACGTAGCACGTGGGATCTTAGTTCCCAGACCAGGGATCGAACCCACGCCTCCTGCATTGGAAGCATGGAGTTGTAACCACCGGACCACCGGGGAAGCAGCTCTTCTATTTTCTCTTAATTACAAAAAGTAGAGTAGATATGCATTCTAACAGAAGGACCCATTTGGACTCAGCATCATCCCACAGTGTGCATCTGACACCAGCTACAGTGTCCCTGGCTGTCACCTCCCAGCGTCCCACCCCCATCCCTGGGGCTCCCTCTTGCCCTTGTTCCTGTTCTCCATCATCAGTGCCTCTCCCCCTAAAGCTGCTACATCAGACTGTTATGGGATTATCAGGAGGAGAACTTTAATAAACATCTTAATAGCAACGCTACTGTCTTACTCGTTAAATATAAGGAGACTGAGGCTCCCGAAGGTGCCCAGCTCACCTAGCCTGTCAATCAGCAAGTTGCAACTGCTGCTCAGGTGTGCTGAGCCGAGCCCAGGGCTCTCTCTGCTCCACCACACTCCCTGATCTGGGTCCATCCTTCCAGGTGTTTAGTTCGGTTCCACTTTTTCTTATTTGTCAGTAGTGAGGGAAGCAATCTAATTCTTTAGGGAATTTCTGTTTCTCTCAGGTGACCTGATTTCTGATAAGCCAGGCAAACTCCAGAATTAGGATCTGGGCTCCTGGGGTCAGGCCAGCCAGGGTTGGGGGTAGTGAGAGGGTTTGTGGAGAAGGTCAAGGGGGTCCCCTAAAGAGCAGGCTGCCCAGAGGACGGCTGGAGCTAAGGAAGACGCTTTCTGAGGAAGGCCCCTTCCGGAGGGAGGTCCTGTAGGAGAGAGGAAGAAGAGAGCCTACCCTGCTTTCCTGGCTAAACGCAGTCGTGACAGAGAGGTCCAGAGGGGCAGAGGGAGAGAATGCAAAGGAGTATAGATGGAGAAGGCAGAAGAGAAGGAAAGACACAGGCAAAGGGAAGCTTGTGACGAATAAAATGTATCTGAGAGACCGGTGATCAGGAAAACAGAAAAGTAGAAATCCAAGAGAAATGGGTACATATTTTATGTTGCAAAATACTGGGTTTGAAAGTGACTCCTGAGTGAAGGAAAAAAATGACCTTCTGGGCTTCCCTGGTGGCGCAGTGGTTGAGAGTCTGCCTGCCGATGCAGGGGGCACAGGTTCATGCCCTGGTCCAGGAAGATCCCATATGCTGCGGAGCGGCTGGGCCGGTGAGCCATGGCCACTGAGCCTGCGCATCTGGAGCCTGTGCTCCACAACGGGAGAGGCCCGCGTACCGCAAAACAAAACAAACAAACAAAAGACTTTGCTGCTTTTCCATTTCTTTGTTTTGTTACAAATCCCTAAGAATCTGTCAGTACTGGGAATGCTATTCATTCATCCAAGTGAGCCACATCCAGCTTATGTGGAGGAGTGGTTCTCAGCTGCCCCAGGTGAGAAGTTAGAGTTTACAGAGCCTAGGAAAAATAGAAAAATTAATTTTGTTTGGATGCTAATGACTCCTCACAAATTGTTACTACCTCTCTAGAAATACATTTATGAGCTAGAGATATGCAATAAAAATTAATACAATAAAAAAAAAGTTCTTCTTTGGATTAGCCAACATCAAATAGATACATAGAACAAATGGGAGGAAATGTGCTGTTCTGGGTTTAAATATATATGTGTATACAATAGAAATGATAGCAATGACTTAGTTATTATGTAGATTTTATATATGCCAGTTAAAATTCTCATGAAATCTCTCATAGATCTGGATGAATTGATGGAATAAAAATATGAATATTTTGAAGGTGTTATGATTATGGATCTTTTTCTCTATATTATAAAGCATGTTATTAAAGCAACTATACTTCAATTTAAAAAATTTTAAGGGGTTTCCCTGGTGGCGCAGCGGTTGAGAATCTGCCTGCTAATGCAGGGGACACGGGTTCGAGCCCTGGTATCGGGGGATCCCACGTGCCGCGGAGCTACTAGGCCCATGAGCCACAACTACTGAGCCTGCGCGTCTGGAGCCTGTGCTCCGCAACAAGAGAGGCCGCGATAGTGAGAGGCCCGCGCACCGCGATGAAGAGTGGCCCCCGCTTGCCACAACTAGAGAAAGCCCTCGCACAGAAACGAAGACCCAACACAGCACAAATTAATTAATTAATTAATAAGCTCCTAAAAAAAAAATTTTTTTTAAACATGTTACTTAATGACAAACATAAAAACCATATGACATTTAGTTTTAAACATTATAAAATTATTCATGGAGTAACGTAGAGATTCCATCCTTCCCTGGCACGAAAAAGCCGAACAGAGGATTTGACCCAGCCATAAAAGAGAGAGAAATTTTTAATGATTTAAGAAATGGAAAATATCATCAGAGACAGTATATATATATCTTAATATATAAACATACTTTTTATAGAGGGAGAGAAAATGAATATGTAAAATAAAAGAATGGGAGAAAATATGTGTCACATAATTGATAAAATCATATTCAAAATGCAGAACTGTTATAAATGTGTAAGACCAAACTAAATTCTACCAAGAAACAGTTATCTTTTGTTTGGGGGGAAAAAATATAAGCAGTATATGTCAAATAAAATATACTTGTAGG